AAGAAAACCAAACCCCCTAATTTTGTCGACCCCCGCAAACGTATAAAGGGCCACGGGCCCGGCCATGACATTAAAATTCTGCTAGGAGATTTTAATGCAAAAATCGGAAATGAAAATATTTTTGGTCCCACCATCGGAAAATTCAGCCTTCATGAAAAAACATCCGACAACGGCATTAGCAGCACCAGATTCAAGCATCTCCATATACACAAGGCCACCTGGATTTCTCCTGATTAAGCAACGAGAAATCAAATTGATCATATTGTGATAGATGGAAGGCATTCATCCAGTGTTTTAGACGTTCGATCAATTTGAGGAGCGAATATCGATTCGGACCATTAACTTGTGGTAGCCAATGTTCGCAATCGTCATAATGTAGGAGCAAAGGTGCGATCTAACACAACATGGAATCTCGACGTCGAAAAGCTGCAAACACAACAGGTAGCCGATGCCTACTCCGCTCAACTTACCCACCTGCTTGATGAAAGCACTACATAGCCAATACGGCTATGTAGGATAACTTTAAGTTACGCAAGGACAGCAGTTAAAGTCGGAAAGGACCTCTCAGAGCTCTTTAATACTGTACGAGGATTCAGACAAGGTGACAGTTTGTCGTGTGACCTTTTTAACATCCTGCTGTAAAAGGTCATACGAGAGGCAAAGGTGAAGAAATGGCACTCTGAATACCAAACAACACATGTTAATCGTCTAAATCTGATATTTGTCGAATCATACGAATTATTTTAAGTCAGACCTTCATATATGGATTGACAATTTAATGAAAACGAAACCTAGAGAATTTATTATACTTTCTTACTAGCGGAATTTATGAAAAGAAACATCTCCATTCAAAATCATATATATGCGAATAAAATCAACATAAATTTAATAAAATAATACTTTTTCTCATCGACTTACCTTATCCGCCCGATGTGTCTGCAATATATACGTCCATAACTCGATAATCGGGATGTGTAAACTGCTGGCGACTTCTTTTGATAATCGGTTGAACATTTGGCATACGCGTACCATCGAATGCATGCAAACTTAACATTTGTTCGTCATCCTCTACCGAATCGTCGTCATCGTCTTGGGTGAGATGATGTAAACGTTTCCTATGATTGGTAGCAGAGGTACTTTTTGACTTTGGTGTAGCAACAGTGGATGCACTCACTGACGGTTCTTCAGAATTATCTGTGGGAGTATTACCATACATAGGTTCAACATCTGCTGGTGCGGCTGCCCGGTGACTAGTTGTTGGTTCTTGTGATAAGCGTATATGTGATTGTGAGGATTTCGTACTTTTAGTTGTGGTAGGAGTTTTTCCAGGCAATGGCTCATTGGAATTGGCATTAGCAGTTGTGGTCTTTGAACTTGGTTGAAAATAGTTTGTGATTTCTTTCGTTTTCGTTTTCCCCTGCACACGCTTTTTTGAAACATCCACAGCAGCAGCTGCTTTACTGGTTGTGGGTTCTTGTGATAGTCGAACATTACTTGTGGAGTCGTTAATGGCATTTTTATTGGCTTCCTGTTCAATATTTCTTCTCACTGCCGCCAAGGGATTTGTATTGTTATTACTGTTGTTATTATTAGCATCTTGTCCCATAATTCTTCTGGCTGCTGGTGCTGCTACAACTGGTGTCTCTTCGGTATATATTGTTGGAGTGAAGACAATCTGTTCGGTAATATTTAATTGGTTGGGTGTATTTGCTGGCATTTCTGTAGATATTCTACGCACAGATGCCGCATAAGGTGTATCCTGTCCATTTAAAGGTACCAATATTGATCGTATATATGGTGTCGATTCAACTTCTAATCTTTTGGCGCCAACTGCAGAACCATTCGCCACCGATGAACTTCTATTTAGTGACTGATGAGCTGGAGTCTTAGTTAAAAGATTATCAATGGAGTCATTTGATATATTCGAATTTATGGACACTGACCGGGATCGTCGCAGGGTTTGTAACGAAGAAACCGAACTTAATTCTTCATGAGCTGATTGAATGCGCCTTCGTTTTTCTTTGATTTTTTGAATGGTTAATTCGTACATGTATTCCATAGCTGCCTTACATGTTCGACAGATTTGTGAACGCGGACGAAAATCTATATAGTTCTTCTTGATGAATTTAATATGCTTGGGATCCTCCACAAAACATCCATCGACCAGTTCATGGTCAGCAACAGCACAATGCATTGGCATGGTGTAATAAAATTAACTAAGTTTTTGTGTAATTAATTGCAAATATAAAATATAATTGAAATCACTTGGTAGTGCACTGATTTGTTGACATTCCTTGCAACTGCCGCCAATTATTATCATTCACTGAGGAGTGATAACAACTATTTGGAAAATAGCTTTCTATGAATGTCAACCTAATCTAAAAGCGTTCCAATACGATTTATAGCAACAAGAGGGCACATTATATTAAATGATACAGTGACAAATTTCAAATGATGTAAAAACGAACTTTATAGAGTGGATTTGGAAAGAGAATAAAATTGAATTAATACGCATTACATTTTAAATATAACTACAATAGGTCGTAGGCTGTAATTCAAGGATTAGTTGTGAAGGTTTAGTACGAGAATGAAGGATTAGTACGAGAATTCATTAAAAAGAGTTAAAAAAGCAACTCCGTAGGTTGAGGGTCATGGCATAATTACAGAAGGTAGTCTCATTTGTGAAATGAATAATGGCAACCCTTTTTAATATGGAACTCATCTATCAATTTCAATTTATTTTTCGAAAAATAAATTCCATAAATTTATGCATTTCGAATGACATATTTAAAAAAATAAAAATTTATACTTTCTGCAAATAAATATATCCATTTTTTTATTAATATTGCTTTTAAAGATATAACTATAGACGTTACAACATATATTTATGGATTATAGATGCTGGAGACTTCAAGATAATAAACATTTTGTAATTATTGCCACTGGACACGTGCTGTGCGTACATTTCGAAGGACGATATTTTCATTTAAATTTTGAAAGCCGAATGTTGTCAAAAGTAAAATTATGAAACTATTGGTATCATATGTCTGCATGAGACTACCTTGTGTAATTGTGCCATGGTTGAGGGTAGTAATGTAAGGTAAAAAATATGTATGTACACATTCTGTATTTAAAAAAAAAAAATATAACATGAAAGCTTGATATTAGACAAAAGTCGATTGAGAATTATATATAGTTATAAGTCTGCTATCCGATAACATAAATTTCAATAAAAAATTTCCGATAGGATAGAAGATTTAAAGCTGAAGCTTTTAAAGAAATGGCCCTAAAGTATATTAACTTAGGTGCTAATATATATAGTTACTTTGTTTTTACATTTTTTAACTCTTTTTATCTTTACTCTACTTATTTGTTTTATTTTTTATTAGTTTTTAATAGAATGTGTAATTTTAGTTTTATTTTAATATTTGCTTTCAGTTTAGATTTTTGTTTTGATTTAATTTGTTGTTTTCGTTTACGACTTGATTTATTTATTTCCATTTCAAGTTTGGTAGATGACACATATTTGGCTTTACATTTTTCGGAATCCAAAATTGAGAGCTCTTTATTCCAATTAATATTATTTTTTAATTTTTTATTTTCTTTATACAAATAATTGATTGCCACTTTACAATTTTCACATATTTGAGTTTTTGAATTAAAATTATTGTATAATTTTTTTACAAATTTCAATTGACCGGAATTTTCAATGAAAAGGGTTTCCACCACGAAGTGCTTTCCAATTTCACAATATTTTGACATTTTCAAAAACAAAATAAACAATTTGATAGAAGTCAGAACATTGTGAAATACTGAGGGGGGTTGCCAGCAGTCGAAGGATAAATACTTGCCATATTTTGTGTGATAGCTGACGACGGTGTATAAATTAGGTTTCATACAAATTGGCCATATGGAATCAAAATTAAAAAAACTTCGAAAGTTTTACTAAACAAATTTTTTAATAGTGTTTTTACACGATATGTATTTTACATATATGCTGTCACTTTTTTGCATATGGAAATCGAACTCGTCATGTGAAACATACGGAAATTTCAATGTGTCAAAACGATATGCAATTACATATGTAATTTTTTCCGAATAGGACGCGCTCTATTTTCGTATGTGAAACATAAAAAAATCAGCTGTTTGAATGAAACACATTGTTGGAAGAAAATATTTCAATTGCAAGTCAAAGAACAGGATGAAAAGGCAACAATTACAAATTATTATTTCGTTTTTAGGTGTTTAATAAAAAAATGATGTTGATTAAAGAAAAAATAAAAGCGATTTTTTTGTTTATAGGTTATGTCATATGTAAAATACATATGCCTATTTGAACACAAAAATAAATGTTTTGTGTACGCCGCTAATTTTGACACACATAAGAAATTACATATGGATGAAATAAGTGACAGCACATATGTAAAATACATATCGTGTAAAAACACCATAAGCAATTTGCTTTCAAATTTCCAAATTCTGTATGTAGATATAAGTTAAATAGCTTGAATAAAGCAGATCGAATATAAAACTGCATGTACATTAGAACTATATGCCGGATTAACCTATTTTATGAGGATTTATTTGACATATATGCAATGGAATTGACAATTTAAACTCACTAGCTTAACAAAATCCGGTACAGTGTAAATGTATAAGAAGTTTATTGTAAGCGATACCATGTGAAAATCTCGAAATGTGAAAGTTAGCAATTAGTTAAAATTTGAAAAAGCGGACATATTAAATTAATCGCCTATAAAACGAAATATACATTAATCTAATTACGCTGTCATTTCACATTGCATTACCACTAATCACAACAGCCTTACGTACCATACGTCATTGAATCACAAACCTAAACAGCTGATTGTCAAAAACAGAAAACAACTGTTTTGTGTGTGTTACGGTATTTCATGTTTAGCGGTTTCGTAATTGTCAAACTTTTGCGCTTTTTCATTGACGGGACGCGAAAAAATTAAATGTAAAAGACGCCAATTAAAATGTTAATACCCAGAGTACAATCAGTGCGAAAGCTGTGTTCCAATATCAGCTCAAGTTTTTATGTTACAACTCCCATATTTTATGTTAATGCTGGTTTGTATATGCAAAACACCGCATGCAAGACGCCAATAAATTCTTATTAGATTTTCATTTGTTTTTGCAGCTCCCCATATTGGACATTTATATTCTGCCGTTATTGCGGATACGATATGTCGCTACCAAAAACTTCTAACCAAGCCAGGAGCCACAGTACGTCTGTGCACCGGCACCGATGAACATGGAACGAAAGTACAACAAGCAGCTGCCTCACACAAGATACCCGTTGCAGATTATTGTCAAGATATATCAGCCCGGTATCGTAATGTATTCCAACAGGCCGCCATACAAAATGATGATTTTATTAGAACCACTGAAGATCGTCATAAAAAAGCGGTCTCAAATTTTTGGAACACCCTAAGTTCCAAAGGTCACATCTATTCGGCAAATTATCAAGGATGGTATTGTGTATCGGATGAAACATTCCTTACCGATTCTCAGCTACGTGTTGATGAGGCAACTGGGGAACGATTTTCATTGGAATCGGGTCATCCGGCCGAATGGACTGAAGAAAAGAACTACATGTTCCGTTTGTCAAGTTTACAATCGGATGTTATTTATTGGTTAAAACAAGGAGGCCGTGTAAAACCTATAAAATTTGAAAAAATTCTATTCGATATGTTGTCAGAACCATTGCCAGATGTTTCGGTATCACGTCCAGCTGAACGTGTTAAATGGGCCATCCCCGTACCCGATGATGCTACACAATCGATTTATGTGTGGCTGGATGCTTTAGTGAATTATTTAACATCGGCTGGATATCCTGACCCTAAGGTACGTTATTGATATTATTTTATGAAGAAATTTGATTTATATTAATTTCTGTTTTAGTTCCAATCCAGCTGGCCACCAACGGTACAAGTTATTGGAAAAGATATTTTAAAATTCCATGGTATATATTGGCCAGCATTTTTAATAGCTGCAGGTATGTTTTATGATTTTTTCTAATTTTGAATTGAAAGTAGAATAGATGAATTGAAAATGTTATGAGTTGAGAGGCGTTTATGAAATGGGCCAACAGCCAATTTCCATATTCGAAATTTATCAACAACGTAGAAACGGAAAAATATGATTAAATATATAGAAGGATAATTCAGTACGGAAGCAATTTATACATGTTTGTGAGCTTATACCATAGACAGACGACAGCCTTAATTTGCATTAAAAAATACTTAATTTGAATTAATATTTACCCCTGACAGACGAGAGTTTCTGCATTTACGAAACATTTTTTTGCTACAAAACAAACGTTTGTCTGTGTGTAGTATGAACATTTTTTACATTTGTTTCGATATTTTTCGGGATTACATCTATAGGAGATATATACATGACATAAAGGAGGAATAGTGACTATCATCTTAGCAAAACAGCTCCCAATTTAAAAAATGGTTGAAATTTGCCTTCATTTCATATTTTTATTTTCATAAATATAAATAAATTTGACAAGAAACAATTAATTTTCGACAGCATTGCCATATTGAAATTGCCTAATTCAGTATAAATTCAGTTTGATTTTGTGCATTAACAGCACATAAAAATGAGGATAATGTACAAGTTAATTTGAATTAAGGCTGTTAATGCAAATTAAGGCTGTAGTCTGTCTAGGCTATTAGGTTCTGATCGTTGGATCTGCAATTAAAAAGGAAAAGTTACGACTTTGCATTATATTTTCTTTATGATTTGAGACTGGCAAAGACAAAATAAGATTTCAAGGTGGAAGTCGGTGATGGCTTGACGTGTTATTCAGTCGTAAAAGGGGATGCCATGCAAGGTTCTTGATACCGGGACATTTGACTTCAAAAGAATATTGCACAGTGTGAAGGGATTTTATTTTGATGGCGTTGCAATAGTTTTGATGCTTGGAAAAAATATCTGAATCTTGGAGGTGCAGCACTGCAAATCTTGGCATGTCCCTTGATGATACTGACAGGTACTATTTATATTGAGTATTGATTGTTTTTCGACCGCTTTAGTTGACATTCAAATAAGATTAGCTTGAGGTAATTTTTTATTTATTGTGAAAATTTCCCGATATTTCGCAATTTTCCAATTGCATCTTCAGGGGTGATATCTACATAATTATAGTCAGGTTTTCCTAACAGCTAATGTTGTTGTACTACAATTGTTTAGAGTAATTATTATTCTTTAGAGGGTTTTTAACATTTTAGCAGAATTTTCATTCAGAGATGCTATATGATGAGACCAAAGGTCTCAATATCTTTATGACCTCTCTCAAGGTAATTAATTGAGCCACACCTTTCGAATGGTGGTATACCATTTTCGTCGCCTTGTTGAGGGTCTTAATTTATGTTTTGTTCAGTGGCACAGCTTGATTTTTCTGAAGTTTTTAATACAGATCTTGTTCCCTGATCCTTAAATATATATGTTTATTATTATTACTTCCTTATGAACAGTCATATGAGTACTTAAGTTAGAGGATGTTCAGTAGGAAAATGAAAAAAAGCGGAAGGGGGAATAGTGGAAAGTGACCGAGTGGATATTTGTCTACTTAGTATAGCCATGTTATCAAATAGTGACAGGTCATGTCACAATTTTTATAAAGCTAAACATGTTCGTGGAATATATTATATATATGGCTGTACTGATAGATTTCTCGTAAAGTATCGATCACACAATTTTGATTTATGCTCGTTGGAAAGGTGACATTTCGCAGTAAAAAAATATTTTGCTCTTTTTATTTGGTACATTCAGTTGTGAGTTACAGGGTGTTAAAATGGAAGTGAACAAAGAGAAAATTCGGTACATTTTACAGTTTTTCTTTGAAAAAGGCGAAAATGCAAGCCAAGCGGCTAAAATTGTGAATGGTGTAACAGTCAATTGTGTGCCATTTTGGTTTCGTAGATTCCGTTCAGGAATCGTAGGTCTCTGAGAGCGATTTTTCGTTTTTATACCCTACACAACTACGTTGTCAGGGTATTATAGCTTTGTGCAGCCCCAAACGTTTGTAACGCCGCGAAATATTGGTCCTAGACCCACCTTTAAGTATACCGATCGTCATATCACGACTAGCTGAGTCGATCTAGACATATGTGTCCGTCCGTCCGTCCGTCTGTCCATTATAATTTGTAAACACGATACAGGCCACAGTTATGGACCAATCTTCACGAAATTTTGCATGTAGGATGGGTTCTGGCCAATGAAGACCCCTATTGTTTTTGGAAAAGATTGATTAATATTTAGGGGATGAAATGGACCAAAAACATTATTTTTGTCGGTTTTTCTGGTCGCTCCAGAGGCCGCAATTATGGCCCAAACACCGCGAATGTTTTGATAAAGATCGGTCAATATTTAGCGGGTCAAATGGACCCTGACTTTTGTGTGAAAAATGACAAAATTTGTATTCTATGGCATATATATTTACTCCTGGAGGATGTAGACCCGAGGAGTTGATAGTATATCCAAGAGGAGTGGTTGGCCTTTAAATTGATACCAAATATAGTGATGTATCTATTCAGATGTTGGAGTTACAGTCAAATATTTACAGGTGCTTACGTATTCAGATATTATTTAGTAACCCATTACCACATTAAAGGGGGAAATATCGCGCTGATGGCTTTAAAATTTTTCATGAAGTTGCAGTTATGGCCAAGAACAACGCCTACAATTTTCGGTGATGATCAGATTAACATTTTGGGATGAAATGGACCGAAAACTTAATTTTTTGTGTGTTTTCGAGTCGAGTATGATCCGAAAATCACAACACAAGCCACCGTGAAGGTAATCTGGACACGTAATTAGAAGGACTGTACTGAATATTCGAAAAAGTAAGGAAGATGTGTTGTTGACCTCTAATCGGGCAAGAGGGGGCAAATATCACGAAATATTACTCAGACTCGGAATAAACATCCTCAGAAAGTTAGAGTTCGTGGTAGTTGTGTAGGGTATCGTATGGTCGGCCCCGTCCGACTATACTGCTCCGCTCACTGGTTTATTTTGCCTTTATATTGTAGTTGGTTATTTATCATAAATTTTGTTAATTAAAAAAATATAAATATTCTTTAAACTTTGATTTAATTACAGGTCTCGAACCACCACGTGAACTATTTGTTCACTCACATTGGACTGTTGACGGTCAAAAAATGTCGAAAAGTAAACATAATGTTGTTGATCCATTGGAAGCATCTGAAACATATACCATGGAAGGTTTACGATATTTTCTATTGCGTGAAGGTGTTCCGCACAGTGATGGCAGTAAGTACAGATCATTTTAATTACCTATAATACTATAAATATACAACTAATACATTTGTATATCTGTGAAATATGAGCCGCGACTGCTTAAAGGTTAATAGTATTTTTTAAAGCATATACCTATTAATTTTTCATTGGACTAAAATTAAAAACTTATTGGTTCTGGGGTCACTATTTGATACCAGAAGCTTTGCAAAATGCTCCTGATCCTCAACACGCTAACTGTATCTGTCACCTGGTTTCTATCTTCATCTCTACAGGAGGATGTACTTGCACCAAAGCCTTCGGTTTGATATTTTACTCGTTGATAAAATTTCCGGACTTTATTCTGACTCCTGTACATCTCGATTTGCTCACGTTTTTCTTGTTATTTCTGAAAGTACGTTTCTCCTCTCTTCTCTTGTCGCGTTACGACAATCCTGATCGTATCATGGTTTCATGATGAAGGTTTTTGGTAACCAAGTGTTGCTTTTGCTGCAATTTGTAGGGAGTTAGCAATTTTTCCCCATTGTGCTTCTATATTATTATCGAGTCAAGGATTGGTTTCGTAAAGCAGGTGGGGAAGTTGAGCGGAGTAGGCAGATCGCAGATCGTGGTCATTTATACGTTTGTGGGAGTCGTCAACATTGGGGGGGTTTGGTTTTATTTTTTGTTGTTTTTTTTTCATAGTATTGGTTTTTTCCTAGTGTGGGCAATTAACCCAACGCGGCACATATCAGCTGACTATTTCAACGGGTGTTCAAAGTAGCTACCCCTGGTGACACCGCGGGGAGGTCAGTGTCCACAATTGAGATGAAAGAGGGACCATGATAGGCCTGGGCTTTGCCATGTTAAAGCCAATCAGAGCCGTTGCTTGCTGTCTATCATCCCCTACGTCACCCGAACAGTTGGGTCTACCAATGTATTTATACTTTAATGATACATCACATCTCGGTTTTGTAAAAGCTACCCATAAATTTATTTTCATTAAACACCATTGTAAATCTTAGCGAATATGTTAAACCCTTTTACCTCGTTTAGACAACACAACTTACTACATGGCCAAACTTAATACAAATAACTTCTCAAGAACATTTTCTTCAAATATCCAAAGTCTTGGTAAACATCATTCTAAGATTTTGAATAATGAAATGTTTACAACAAATATAGAACGGGCTAACGATGATGAAGACGACTGCACTGGGTGTTGATGATGATACTACTGATGTGTTTGGCCATGGCCAAAAATATAGACCAAGTGATGGTGGTATGTCTGTCAGTCATTCAGCCAGGCAGCTAGTCAACAATGTTTTTGTCTGCAAAACAAAAACTTGAACAAAATTAAAATGTAAAACACAACATTTCACAAGATGTAAAATGAAAAACTTTAGGACAACTGTTGTTGACGAACGACCCGAACCGACCCTACACACTTGTCGAAACAAAAGACAACTGCAGAAGAAGATAATCAACTGTGTAGTCAAGAGTTGAATGTATATAAGGAAGTTGTTGTTTCTTATTTGAGCATTTTTCGGGGTTAAATTGAAATGCAAATTAAAAAAGGGAAATCTTAACTTTTCCTCCTTAGCTCAAGAAATCTAGAACTTGTACACATAAAAGAGAAAAGTTTATATTTTTATTTGCCCGATATATTGTCTGCAGTGAAATTTTAATTATACTTTTTTTGTTTTCTTTTAATATTTATATTGAATAATATAAATGTTTATATAATTTAATTTAGGAAACACACATGCACATATAGGAATTTTAAAAGAATTTAATTAAGAGGAAAATTGATTTATATAGAGGCCTTACAGTGGTCTCCTGTAAGGCCTCTGACTCTGATGTAATTGTGTTAACTTGTGTGGAAAATAATATAAGAACAGTATATTTGGTTGTATAATTATTTTGCAATTCTATTCCCAACATTCCATTCTAAATATCCCTTAGTATAATTTTTCTTTATCCTACCTACCTCCTAACAACCTCGTGAATATAAAATAAAAAAAACATCGAATCTAAAAATAAAGCATGTGAAATGTAACAGGAAATTGCCATGCACTCTGAAAATATGCTAAACTTTATTTGATTTGTTAGCAGCATGCAAATATTCGCATGGATGAATTACATCCACTACCATGACGTCGAATTCATATATTGATGCACAACTACATATTTTTTGCATACTTTTTTCTTAGACCTGTTTTTTTGTTCTTTCTCTCTCTCCCTTCCATTTTTTATTTGCAAAATGCATTTGCATTGCGACCGAGCGAGACAGAGTGCATAACAAATAAACATTGAAATCTTTCTTCCTCGGGAGATTTATTGACAAAGGCATTGCTCTGCAGACATCAACTCCGGGTGTTTGCCCAAACGTAGTTATTGTCGTTGTTGTTGAAAATCAATTTTATATGCTGCGTTGAACTTGTATTGGAAATGCTTGTTATTCTTTGTTGGTGTTGTTGTCGTTGTTGTTATTATGAATGTGATTTTAGTGATTTGTTGCCTGGGCAAGAATAATTTGTCTCTGTAGATTTTAGTTATTTTGGGGAAGCAATATTTTGGGAATAATTTGGAAACGTTAATTGAATTTAAATTTTATAATAGTTACGTTATTAAATATTATATATACATTATTAAATTTTAACATAAATATATACAGAGATGCTTAGAGTACGTGGGTACCTACCTTGCGGTCTTACCCCACGGTGCTCTAAACACCAGTTAATACAAAGCGTCAACCAACGCCCCCACACCGAAATGTAGGTACCAATCACACGTATTTGGACGCGATCACCTCCTTGGATGAGGAGCGGAGCCCATCTAAAACTCCTGTCTTTCTATGTGTCAGGCACCCGGTTGTAATGCAACTCCACACCGAGCCACAGCTCTACCCGCAATTTGGGTATAAACCACATCCAGCGCGATGCTCCCCGAAGGGCCAACACCAACTGCCGGGCTAGATCCGCAGACCTAGGGGCCTTGACACCCGTGCTACCGAAACCTTCGGTCAGGTTCATAGCCAAAGCTATTACCAGTAGAACCCCAAACAGTTCGAGACTGGTCACTCACAGACTGTAGCTTCTGCCCAGCTTCATAGCCAAAGCTACTACCATTAGGACTAACTTGCAATTAAAATACTACACATCATTTGTTAATATAATTAGATAGGTGTTATTAGGGTAAATTAGTAAAATCTTACAGCCACCGCCGAAACCCATATAACGCAACGATGACAGCATAAACATTAAGTACTGGAATGCTAACGAACTAACCAAATAATAGTAAAGTCCTTCGAAGAATGTTGTCGTCCTCTTCGAGAAAGGAAATCTGACTATGGAAAACTCTGAATGACAGTGGTGATTCGGAAAAAGGAAGGCTTTATAACAGAACACATTGAACAAAATCTGCAATATAGTAGGACAACTTGCACGCCGAATGAAACAATACTACAAAATAACAAGAGCAGCTAACTGCAACTCCTGAAAACTATTTTGTGAACAGGTCAATAACATAAACCATATTTCAATAATCAATGAGTTTCTATACAATAACCCACACCCAATCCGAGTCAATGGTGGGCAATAAAGGAGAAGAAAATAGAATCAACTGAAGAATTGATATCTATAACCATATTTACCCTATCAAAGCTGGCGGGTAGCCAGGGTAATCATTATACCCAAGCCGGTAAGGCAATATACGCAACATCAAAAACCTAATTTAGTTTCTATTCATAACCATGGAACGGACGGACAATCGTCACGCGACAAAGAGCACCATCCCCAACTATACGCATATATAAAAAAACATATGCCTATGTAATAGGAAGATCAATGGGAACTGCTTTACATACTTTCGACAAGAAAATCCATTGATATCGAGGGAGCTCTTAACAATGTTGTCGGTACCGAAAAGCTTATCCAATACTCAGAATATTTTCGAGTGGAGCAGGCAATCATAGACTGGGTTATATGCTTATGAATAGATGGATAAAATGCAGACTGCACGCATAATTATCAGGGACAATATAGGGCAAGGTACACCGTTGAAAGGAAGTCTGTAACCACTTCTGTGGGTTATCACAATTAATAGAGTCTTAAGGAACTTAACCTTTTATGGATTTGAACTAGTATGATAGAAAGAAAAAGGGACGATTCCAAACATAGTATACAGAAAGGCTGAAACTGCATTCAAAATCGCGTTTAATTGGGCGAGGGGTTTTAATGTCAATCCGTTAAAAGAGATATATGATTTTTCATCAAAAAGACAAACATAGAACCGTAGGAGGAGCCAATTGTCCAGAACAAAAAATTAGTCATATCAAATGAACCTACATATCTGGGAGTCTATTACATACAGATGCTAGATTTTCTGCAGAAGAGCTGCTGTAGGCACTAAATGGGATTTGAGTCCAAAGATTATCAACTGGATCAATAAGACTGTCATTAGACCAAATCTAACATACCCGTCTGTAATTTAGAGGACAGCAGTGGGCCACAAATTTAATGTAAAACCATTAAGGAAAATAGTAATGTCGGATCTATCCTAACAGTCATCGCTTTTTCGAAGGAAGATTGACATGAAATTGAACGAAATATGTGATGTTAATATATATATATATATATATATATGATCCGACTAATACCACTCCATACACATGTCGTTCTGCAACCTATGCTAAATTTCACTGGTCGAATTTTAATCTCAATCAAACACCTGTAGATTATTTGTTGTACAATTAATATGAAGTGGGTTGAAAATATATGGAACCTATGTCTGCATCTGCACCAATCATAAATGCGACCTGTACTTTGTTTACAATACAGACAGAACGACGGACGGACATGCATAAATCGATTTAGAAAATGATTCTATGCATATTCTCAAAAGGAACCATGTATCTATCTCGTTTCCTTTTGCCTGTTACAAACATATGCACAAAGACATAATACCATGTACCACAGTGTAGTGGGGACCAATATTCACCATTTACGGTAGAAAGATTTGATACCCAATGAGAA